AAAACCCTATTTGACTTTAGGCCATATTTTCGCAAAGCCAAAAGATCCTGTTGAAACAAATCAGAAGCCTCATGCTATATATTCTATACCATGCGGTGACTGCGACAAAGAGTATTTGGGTCAGTCTAAACGCCAGTTTGGTACACGGCTAAAAGAACATCAAAAGGCTGTTTCAACTTTAGACAAGGGAAAATCAGCTTTAGCCGAACATGTATGTTACACCAAACACGAGATTGCGTGGGAAAACTCTAAAGTAATTACTACAAACAATCGCTATGGTCAAAGACTTTGCCTAGAAGCGTGGCATATAAATATGAGTCATCATGCTTTGAATAGGGATGACGGTGCCTATTTGCCAGAGGAATATATGCATCTTCTTGGCAGGTGACGTCATCCCTTGGGTATTTAAGAAGCCACGATCGCAGTTTTAGATCACCCCTGATGAAGACACTACACTGGAGTGTCGAAACGTTGGGTCCTGATTACAATTCGACTGGGCTTTGTAATCATTTATTTAAACATGATTGATATACCTGGTTGCAGTGAACGCGAACAAACTTTAAATGCAAACGAGTATAAACTTTCGTTCGATGGTGTGTGTTTCATAGCCGCACATAATCAGCGGTGGAAAAGCACTGCGATGAAATTAGAACTGGTGAAATAGACAGGCAGGTATAGAATATCGTTGCCGCAAGGCACAATCGTATTAGTCGGTAAGGCCACCTGTGGTGCCAACCGACTCTAGGTTTGCCCTTTGATAGACCACAAAATGACGAATTACATCACTTTTGACGAAAAATACGTAATTCTTACGAAATCAAAATCAAAATGGCGACCATGGAACAGCGTACGAAAGTTCGCTATTGACTTGTAGTCAATTTTTTGATCCAGTCGTGTCTTTTCTTTTGGGGTTTTTTGAAAGAAATACATTAAGAATTCCCTAAAAGTTATCAACGTTTCACTGTTATGTTATAGAGGAGGGAAGTGGATAATTTGTACATGATTTTATATATTTTGGTCTTTTGGATCTACATAAATTAAACTTAAAGTCAGACATCGCCTGCTTCTTTCGATGGTCTACATCCTATTAAATAGCATTGGAGGATTAAGGTTCATTGGGACAAAATACTGTTTTTACCAAAAGCTGATAAGCAGTAACTCAATTTCCCCGATATCGTGTGTAGGAAACTTCGTCCAGTTGGCCGCCTTTATACTGCACACTGGTATGTAGATTAGTAGATATGACTAAAGCTGCAGCGTTATTACTGCAGGTCATTAGGTGGTCGCTTGGTAATCATACGAAATACCTCTTCTCTCAACACAGGGAGCCCAACCGTTGATCTGTGTTAGTGTTGTATGTTTTTCAGTTTATTTATTGTAGTGTCTTTATGTTGCCTTTTAATTGAATTATAACACTAAATTACACTAATATGTCATATAATAATAATACTCCTATAGTCGAACATATAATAACAACATATAAGTTGATTTGTATTTGTATGTTTTTCAATTTATTTATCTAAGATCTATTATTTATAGCTTATATAAAAGCACCGCCTTTCGAACCTGACAGCCCGTTCGTGGGATACGCGCGGGATTTGAAATAGGGAGCGGCAACAATATAAATACGTGACAAGGGATGAAACTCTTAAAGTTTGTCGTATTATGAATGCCCAGACTTGAGTGGACCGATAATTATGCAATGAGTGTCGTGTCGAATAACGCCGTCAACATTTAGGAATCAATGATATAAACAAGGAAGCAAACTCGAATACAACTCAAGGTGAGAAGCCAATTTGTGTCGACCGCAACGGTTTCAATGTTCAAAATTAAAAATTAAATACATTAGGTCCAGCCTGCCAGCTATTAAAATAACATTGCTATATGGTTGTACTTGTTTTAACTATTAGCGCTAACTACCAGGCAAACTGGAAACTTCAAGAATCGATATTTTCGAAAAAACAAACAAGCTCTTCTTTAGTGGTATATACTTGTACTTAAAGTTGAATATTTCCATCGTCCAAGCGACTTAACGCTCCGAATTTATAATGGCTTCAAATTCCTGCAAGGTAGACGAATTTGCCTCTCCTCTGAAAATGTTTTCACCTCCCATCCGCTTTAAATTCCACCCACTTGCATTTTCGCGCGCCCAAATAAAAACCTTTTTCAGATGCAAACTTGGACACATTTACTGCACTTAGAGATTGGCATTGACATACATGCGCATAGAAAAACTTATTCGTGGGTGTTACTACAGGCTAGATCGCATATTCCGTGTGAGTGCGCATGTGCATCTCTTTGTTCACACAAACGTAGTTTGTTAATTAGACTTTATCCTCAAACTTGGATTTTAAAAGCTCATTGTTTAAGGTGGGTTGTAGCCACGAAATTTGCCACAAAAATTCACTTCTATTATTACGTTCAGGCTGTTTACTTTGTAATGTTGCATATCACGTTGAAATATGGTAAACACTACTAAACAGTGTATTATACGATCATGTAAATCGTTTGCTACTTCAGTTTACTTTAAAAAAAACAAATATACTGTAGTGAAAACGAACCTCTGTAAAAATTACTTTGAACAGAACAGGCAGTACTTGAAATTCGATAGACATTCTTTTTCAAGCAGCGATTCATGCAAGTTGTAAACGATCTATACCTGATTCTGATATTTTACTATTTACATTATCGTGTAATATGATTTACTGTTTGCTATTGAGGTCATTTTCAACGTGATAACCAAATTAGGAAGCAAGTAGAATTAATAAAGTATGTCCGTAATTTTTCGCCAATAACTATTTTCTCTCATTAAACTGATATAATCAATAAATCCCTTAGAATAGTAAACCATTATGTCGAAGAATCTCTCTTTACGACTAAAACTACCTTGTACTTTATCAACATACTCCTTAACTTCGTCATGTTGCCGGCTCAGTTCAGTGTGTAATTCATCATAAATCTCATCAACTTCCCCACACATTTCCTTCGTTCTTTCAACAAGCTGGTCAGACACGACCTTCACGATAATCTTGGCTTGTTCCACGATTTTTTCTTTGGTCGCTGAGGCATTTTCTTCAAGAGATTTCATGACTCCAGAGATATTGTTTAATGCTTTCTTTCCTTCAAATAATTTCTCATCAAGTGTGGCGCAACTTGATTCCAATATTTCTCTATGTTTCTCCGCGACTTCCTCAACAGATACACATGAATGATTTTGTTTGATGTGGGTTAAGACCATGCAATGAGTGCAGCTTAGTTCCTAGAATTAAAAGAGACGTATTAGTCATAAACATTAACAGCTACACTCACACATGCATACAAAACAATCGCACAGGAAAATGTTTTGAAGATTTCAATCAATTGCAATCTCATTTGAAGTTTCTTATAAATTCACAACGCAAGTTGCCAAGCATCACAGTATTGTCCGTGAATTAACAGGTGATAAAGTTACATGTAGGGGAAATAAGAGGGATTAAACTGAGTGTAGAGAAACTCTAGTCCAACGTACGTTGAAAAGCTCCCAAATGGGGAACAACAAAAATGAACTCGTATAGCATGAGACGTACATGGTTAGCAAAGTAAAATGTAATTACTGTAGCGTTACAAAACCCGAACCAGTTTCTCCGCATCCTAAAAATGTCCTTATAATGGCTTACTCTCAATCCCAAACAGTTTAAGTAAGTGGATGAATATCACTATTTTAAAATGAATTCTTTCTACATCCTTATAAGCTTGATGGATTAAATTTGTTTGATGGCATCTACTGACAATAAAGATGCATAGTATTAATTTTCTATTAATATTTATGTTTTGAGTGAAATGCGTAGTTGTATCACTCCACACATGCCTCCCCAATGGCTTCTTCTCGACACCAAAACAATTTACAAAAGTTCTCAAAGTGTCGAATTACATCTACATGAACAACGGCATATACAGTATCTCCTGGTCACTTTGATAATTTTTGCTTGCAAGCGAAAACATACAAGCAGTGTGTAAATAAAAATTATAGTTTAGTAGTTACTATTTAGTTGTTTGCCAAACACTATGCTTACAGTAGTTTCACATCCAGCTAAATGCAATTTTGTATCTTCTCAGTCCCTTTTCTTATTTCGAGATTGCTCTTAAATTCTCAGATGACGGCATCAATTTCCCAAATTATTATCGGATAACGGGTTTGTATTTCTAGTAAAATTTTAACCCACACCATCCCAACTGTATACAAAAGTGAAGACTACAAGCCAACCTAGACAAAGTTTCAGCAGTAAATGTTGTTTTCACCCAAATATACTAATTAATTTGAGACTTTTTCTCAGTAACACATAAGCAGTTAAATAACTGCAGCAGTGAACCGTCGATACCTCCCCTGCGGTCCCAGAAAATAAAATATTTTTTCATCATTGGAGGAGGGATACTACGCGACTTTGCAATGGATGCAGCTGAAACACGATACAGCGGAAGGCTTGCCAGTGCCTTATTAAGAGCAACCATTGCACAACCACGTTTCTGGCAATTGAGGAAACCAGAGTATACCCTTAGAAAAACCCTTAAAGCACAGAAGAAATTACTAAAACTCAACACACATGCATACATGTACATGAGTTTTCAAACGTATTACAGGGTAGTCAGCAACATGAAATAATACCCTACCCTTGTTCTTCAATAGCATGCAGGATTAACTCGCCCGTGTAACGCGGTGGAAAACTATAGAGTATCTGGCAGTTATGCATAACAAAAAATCTTACCTTGCATGTTTCACAGTAAAACTTGAGTGTTTTATCTTGATGTTTCTTACAATAAAGTTTGCTTTTTATCTTGGCTTGACCTTCAGGACTGTTCAACTCGTTGATAGACAACACAGTATGCTTCTTGTGGTCCGGCCATCTTGCATGGCATTTGGAACAATTTTCACACATGAACATTTCACATGTTAAACACCGATAAACTGCAGCAGACTCACAACATTGGCAACTCGATACCTTAAAGTTAGTAAAAATTAAAACACATCAATATGTTACAAAAGTTCTGATGACTGCCCTACTATACATGTATACAGCGAGAATAAAAAGTAGACAATCGGGAAGCGACCACTAAACTGGGAATTCTGTAAGATTTTCGAAACATTTTGGTGAGAATGGGTGCTTTAGGGTGTTATGATATTCTAACAATACTTTTAGTGCTACGAAAATCTAAAGATAAATGTCCATATCTACATCAAATTTCTCTCAAATAAATGTTCCTGAATTTTCAGTTCAGTGCATGGCCATTCCAAAAATGTCTATATTCCCTGTAGAATCTAGTTGCTCAAAGAGGTCACCGCCACAACTGAACTCTGTAAATATATATATATCAATCTAATGAGTGTATAGTTTTCACCTGAAACTTCCATGTCCAAATACCCTCCACACAAATTCTCCCCAATGATGACACCCCCTGGGAAACACTGGCGCCTCCACAATTCGGCTATTTTTCAATTTACTGCAGTAAGCAGTGACACAGAAAGTTTGAGTAAGATGAGACACCTGTGGTGGACACTAGAAGGGAGACCGGTAGCCTCCCTGAGGGTGGGGAGCAATTGTCCCCAACAATTTCTCAAAGTTTATGAATGATAGCTGGCAAACTGGGTAACAATGCCTTTATTTTTTGTAATACGCATAATTTTATAACCATGCCGGAAGAGTAATTTAGGAAATTTGCATCATATTTACAATAATGCACCAATGTGCCATACATGTACTTTATTGTAATTTACCCTTTCAAACGCCAAACGAATTTACTTATTGACATGTGGAGAGACCTGGAGCGCATTGCTAGACTACTGTATCTACACATGTCTGGTTAACCTATCAAATTGAATTGCGCCCCAACGCCCCCATTTTATTATTTTACTCTGACCAGAGGCAGATGAATTTCTCCTCCCTTTAGAGGCTAGATTCCACTCAGGAAAATTATCCGTGGATAGGAACGGACAAGAAAATTTTTCTTTGTGTTAATGTCATTGGTTCCAACCCAGAGCTCCACAAGACAAAGAAAAACTTTCTTGTCCGTTCCAATCCACGGATAATTTTACTGAGTGGAAACTAGCCTTAAGGGAGGAGCGCTGGCGTTAAATGAGTTAAACCAAGAGTGGTGGTTTATGAACGAAAGATCTGCAGAACAATATACTGAATGGTCAAAATATGTCAGCAACCTAAATTTGCAACCCCAATATGCAAAGCGTTCGAAGACAAACCAATGAACTGAAGCTGTATAAACAAAGCAACTGAGCATTCCTAAAGACAAGTTTATATGTACTCACGAGTTGTGGTGAGTAACCACATTCTGGTTACTCAACTTATTTACTCAGTAAACTTATTTAAACCAGGGTTTATTTTAAGAAAAATTTAGAACTGCACATATTAAGGATGCTACGACGCATCATATGTTTGGCTGGGGGGTCAAAGGGTGTTTGACTGGGGGTCAAAGGATTTTTATCTATATTTAACGTTGTAAATTTATAGTTAACGTTGTAAATTATGATAGACTCTTAATTTGTATATAGGTGGTAAAAAAAGTTGTGGTTGGGTGGGACCAGACAAACTCGATTCTGGGTGGGGGAGCTACAGGCAGGGGGTGCCCCCCAAATTTTGAATTTAGAGGCTCGTAAGTTCTGGCAAAGATTTGTTTCTCCCAACCAACCACAAAAACTGTTTCAAAACATGTGACTGGGAATCATGAATACTCAAATATAATATAATAACCTTAGGCAGCAAAGAATGTTGGGTTCTCCCACCAATTTCACCTCCTGTTCCATTACCCCCAACACGTATGTGATTTGTGAGGAAAATATCAGGGTCTGGTGGTCCTCTCCCAGAAAACATTTAGATTTTTCATGTTCAATGACATTGGTGATTTTAACGATTTCGATATATCGAATATATTATCAAGTCATAACCTGAAGCAAGTTGTCAAAGTCCCTACAAGAGGAACAGCCATTTTGGATCTGATAATTACGAACCAACCAAACCTGTATGAACCTCCCCAAGTTTTAGCGCCCTTAGGGTCCTCAGACCATAACATTGTAACATGGTGACCCAGTCTAGAGAATACCAATTCTCAAGAACGTACGAAATCTGTCAAACGTCGCATCTGGCGCTATCTAAGGTCTGGGGTTGAAGCTTTGGGGAGATGGATCGCTACACATTTCTGGTTTGGCGAGTTAGGGACTAATCAAACGGTAGACGATTTAACATCATCATTCTCATCGCACCTTACAGAAGCCATTAATCGTATATTCCCTCCTATAACTGTGAAGTGGCATCAAACCGATAAACCTTGGATAACCCCAAGTATTAAAAAACTGATTAAAGACCGACAGAAAGCATTCCATAACCATAATATCCCCCTATGGAAATCTTTAAGATATAAAGTCCAAGAGGAGATTAAGCAAAGAAAGAAATCATTTTATAAAAACAAAGTTCAGCATTTAAAAAACAGTGATAGTTGTAAGTGGTGGAAAATCATTAACAAAATGTCTGGCAAACCCGAAACAACAAAGCCTTTCACCTTAGAACGCGATGGTGAAATCCTAAACAATTTACAAGCTTCCAATGCCCTTAACGAATTCTATACTTCCGTTAACGCTGATATTCCGCCATTAGATGTGAACTTATTACCACCGTTTTTACCATCAA